CTCTACTTCAAATTTCTGCTAAGATCACCCTTAATCTGCTGTAACCCCTCTTACTTTGATTAAAAGGTTCTCTGTGGCTCACCTTACATCTTTCTGATTATATAGAAAAGATGTTAACAAAGGATTTTATAGTCAAAACACTGGCTTCATCTTTAGACAAACTTATCTGAGTGCTCTAGACTTATCTCTGCCTGGAAGCCAAGTCTTAATTTTAGCATAGTTCAACATATTGAGAGGATGAGAATTTTCAAAACCAGCAAGTCCTGCTTCTTTTTTTGTCTGTTTGCTTAGGAGTCCTTCCTAAGCCTGTTTCTGTCAACTTCTCTTTTATCAATAAGCAGGACATTTTCTATTTCACGTGTCGGTATAGGTGACAGTATTGCTCCACTTTCTGCTACTATATAACAGTGATTTCCTTTCTTAGTTTCCAATATGGTTTTCTTCATTTTCACTTCAGTCTTCCTCAGCAGTCTCTTCAAAGGCCTAACATTAAGCTTCTATCTACTGTCCCCAAGTTCAAATTATATGCCACATTTTAAAGTGCTTGTTATGGCAACATTCCATTATGGATAGCAAAATCTGTATCAGGAACAGATTATCCCAAAACCCAAAGTCTTAAAATGACATTTATTATTTTAGTTTCTCTAGGTCATGAATTAATGAACAGTTTAACTAGGTGGTTCTGACTCACATTCCCTACAGAAGTTACGGTTAAGACATTACCTATGACTGCAGTCATCTGAAGTCTCATTTGGGGGTGAATGACCTGCATCCAAGATGGCTCATGAACATGTTTATTGTCACAAAGCTTCAGGTTGCCTACCTCTGGAAGTCATCCTCTTGTCATTCTTACCATATGTTTTTTGTTAAGTAACAACCCATCAAGTATAGCACCTTCTCAAAGGGAGAAGAATCAGATTCCACCAAAAGGAATATAATTTAAGAATCTATTTTAAAAACATAAATTTGACATAAAAATTGCTCTTTGTAAAATTACATTTAAGTGGAAGCCTATTTTACAGTCTCTAGTGACAATGCAAATTTTCTATTTTACTATGAAAATAAAAACCAAGCAAGTGCTTAGGGGTCTAATGAAGATAAAATATAAATAACTGCTTCAGGGGTGCCTGTGAAACCTGCTGCACTGGGGGCAATCAAGAGACTCTACTATGAAGCAGAGACTCCAAGGAGCCAGCAACAGAATAACTACTCTTCTTGCTTTGGTTATACAGTAATTCTCTTCACTAGGCTCCTCCTTTCTATTTCTGGGCTTCCCTGGTGGCTCAGGGGGTAAAGTGTCTGCCTACAATGTAAGAGACCTGAGTTCCATCCCTGGGTTGAGAAGATCCCCTGGATCCCTTTCTATTTCTAAATTTTCACTTTTTTTTTTTTTGCCTCTGTGATAAATTTATTATTCCTCATTCATATCTTGCCCATTTTACTACTCCATACCAAAGACTTGACATATGTGGCACTAGGAGGAAATAAGATTATGAAAATAAGACAATGGTTTTTACAAAACCACTGACTGTGATATGTGCAAAGTCTGCAAACAAATCCTGCAGAAGTTATTCCTCTATACAATGTCATATGCAGAAATGAAGCAAAATCAAAGCAGAATGTTAAAAAAAAAACCTCCTTTAATAGATGAATTTTAATTAAATTCACTCTCTTCATAGGGAGCAATTCAGAAAATGCTTCCCCATTTCCAGCCCCATATTTTCTTTGATTGCTGTGGCTGTTGTTCAGTTGCTAACTCGTGTCCAATTCTTTGTGACCCCATGAACTGCAGCACACCAGGCTTCTCTATCCATCACTGTCTCCAAGTCTGTGTAAACTCATGTCCATTGAGTCAGTGATGCCATCCAACCACATCATCCTCTGTCATCCCCTTCTCCTCTTGCCCTCAATTTTTCCCAGCATCAGGATCTTCTCAATGAGTCAGTTCTTCGCATCAGGTGGCCAAGGTATTGGGGCTTCAGCTTCAGTCCTTCCAATGAATATTCAGACTGATTTCCTTCAAGACTGACTGATCGATCTCCGTGTAGTCCAAGGGACTCTCAAGAATCTTCTCTAGCACCACAGTTCGAAAGCATCAATTCTTCAGCACTCAGCCTTCTTTATGGTTCAACATCCATACATGACTACTGGAAAAACCACAGCTTTGACTATACAGACCTTTGTCAGCAAAGCGATGTCTCTGCTTTTTAATATGCTAAGTTGGTCATAGCTTTTCTTCCAAGGAGCAACTGTCTTTTAATTTCATGGCTGCAGTCACTGTCCACATTGATTTTGGATCATAAGTAAATGAAATCTGACACTGTTTTGCACGTTTTCCCCATCTATTTGCCAAGAAGTGACAGGACTGGATGCCATGATCTTAGTTTTTTGAATGCAGAGTTTTAAGCCAGCTTTTACATTTCTCCTCTTTCACCTCCATCAAGAGGCTCTTTAGTTCCTTTCACTTTCAGCCATTAATTAGTATCATCTGCATATCAGAGGCTGCAGATATTTCTATTGGCAATTGAGATTCCAGGTTGTGATTCATCCAGCCTGGCATTCGGCATGATGTACTCCTTTCCCCATTTTGAACCAGTCTGTTGTTTCATGTCTGGTTCTAACTTTCATCCAGTCCAGCATTATTTTCGTTGATACCAGAACAAAACAGAACTTTGGAAAACAATTAACTAAAAAATATATTTATTTTGTATTTTATTACTTACTTACACCTAATTAACTGAAATTCACTGTTCTATAAAAATAACTAGCTATCAATAAAATAAATAGATTCATATATTAAAACACAAATAAGAACTCTTAAATGTATAATAAATATAATGTGTTAGGATACATCCACTGAAAGCAAATTACAGACACAAAAAGATTGAAAATCGTAAACTTGAAACACTAAGGGTATATAAAAATATTCTCTATTTAAGTGAAGTTTTGGAAAAAATCTATAGTACAATGATATCATAGTAACACATGTGTACCCACTGACTTGTACAGAAAAACACTCAAAGGCTATATTTAAAAATATGTATGATGGTTATCATGAATGGCAGCATACTTATGTTTTATTTTTTGAACTTTGCTATACTTCTCCCATTTTCAAAATGAAAACCATTCTTATTTTCTGATAGTAAATGTACATAAAACAGTCTGTCACATCTTTAGGTGATTTCTATTTTTATAATTATATGAAAAATTGTTTATATAAGGTATACATATAAATTTTTTTCTCTATTATTCTAAAAGTACTAGTACTTTAGGATATTAAAAGTACTAAAAAGAAAACCATACAGCTCAGAATCCCAAAAGCAACCAACAAAATTATTTACCATTTTAGTCGAGTAACAATGGATCACAACACCATATAATTATGTTTTTTACTACTCAATACATTGCAAGTAAATTACAAATAATAAAATTTTTTACAGGTTTTATGACAGATACCTTAATCAATTCAACTTTCATTCTATTTAGATAGATTATTTTTTATTATCAATATTTCACACACGCTCAAAAATGTTTATAAAATTTTTCTGTGTATCTCTATCCCTTTAAATTCATTCACTTGATCAACAGGCATGAATGTTTCTATTTTTATGGCTTTTAAATATGTATTACCAAACTGCTTTCTAAAAACAATCTACCAATCTACATTTTCTCTAGCAGAGGGTCAGTCTGTCAACCTCATGGAAAGACACAGTCAGGGGTAAAATTAACTTTTAAAATCTTCGATAATTTGGTAACTAAAGAACGTTAATTTATACTGCCTATTGAGATAAAGGGTGTCCAAGTGAAATCAACATTTCACACTTATTTCTCTATGAATTTTTAATACAAGTACCTTACGTATGGAACAGGATATCTGTGATGGCTAATGTTATTTGTAAGCTTGACTAAGCTATGGTGTCAAGTGGTTTGGGCAAACATCAGCCTAAATATTGTGAAGGTAATTTTCTTATGTGACAAACATCTAAATCTAGTAGAATCAGTAAAGGAGATTATACTCCAAAAAGTGGGTGGGACCTATTATGAAAAGACTTGTAGACTGAGGTTCCACAAAGAGGAAGGAAATCTGCCTTGAGACTGCCTTCAGATTCAAGATCAAAACATCAACTCTTGCCAGAACTTCCAAGATGCCTGCCTATCTGACTATCTGCCTACCTGCCTACCTGGTGGACTTGCCAGCTCCCACAATCCAATGAGCCAATTCCTTATAAAACTGAACAAAATCACAGCAAGAGACACAGATGTAAAGAACAGACTTTTGGACTCTGTGGGAGAAAGTGAGGGTGAGATGATTTGAGAGAATAGCACTGAAACACGTGTATTACCATATGTGAAACAGATCACCAGTACAGGTTCGATGCACAAGACAGGGCGCTCAGGGCCAGTGCACTGGGACAACCCTGAGGGATGGGATGAGGAGGGAGGTGGGAGCAGAGTTCAGGATGGGGGACACATGTACACCCATAGCTGATTCACGTGAATGTATGGCAAAAACCACTACAATACTGTAAAGTAATTGGCCTCCAATTAAAATCAATAAATTAATTTACAAAAAAAAAGAAAAAATTTTATAATCACATCATAAATTTCTATACAAAAATTTTTGTGATTTTGAATGGGTTTGCATACAAATCAATTTTGGGGGAAATTGCAATTTAAACAAAATTGAATCTTCTAATTGTGAAAATTTCAGTCTTTATAATTAGGCTTTCCCAACAAGTTTTTTCTTTCACGTCTTTCATTAGATTTAATGCTAGAAACTTTATACTTTTTGATGCTATTATAAAAAAACTGAACAAAATCAACCTCTCGCTCTAAATATAAAATGTATATATATATACATACACACACACACAAATTTCCTGACAAATATGGCATCTAAAAATTTCTTAAGAATTTATATGAATTGTTTATTTATTAAGGCTAGTGATTTCCACCACATCCTTCAGGTTTTGAAATTCCTTTTAAGTCAAACTACTTACTTGTAAATTGTCTTCTGTACCTTCAGCTTCATTTTTAAATGATGGGCATCCTAAGAAAACAAGTAAAAGTTGATTAAGCATAGAATTTTTGTCTTGGATTTTAGAGTTGCTAACTAATTGATAATATCACTAAGAGACTATAGAAGATTGATCAGAGATCATTCTGGACTGCCTGGCAACTAGTCAGATGGTGGCCACTCATACTTGCCCCTCTGTTAGAAGAACAGAGAATAAAGTGACTGCTTTCCTCTGCTACAGGTGAATCTCCAGTTCCTTATTAAGGAGGTGCGTTCTGTGAAAGTGCAGTCTCTACTAAGCCCTCCTCCCTTAATTTCTCTGAAATATCAAACTGCTAGGAAGAGTACATGCATCACATTCCTCTGCTATTTAGGAGATACCCACATGATTTACTCAATTTTTCTAAATACTCTGACCTACAAAACAGTATTCAGTACCTCAAGCTAGGATTTTAGCTGCTTTAGTAAGAACGAAAACAAATGAGCCTGAATCCGCTATTGATAATCAATAGCCATTTGTTGTTACTGACTTTTGAGCACCAATGATGCTATAAAACTTTTCATGGCATTCAAGAGTGCCTTTAGTTTCAACAAATTAATAAGAAGAATTTATTTTAGCAAAGTATCCTGAGTTTATATGCTACCCTTGAAGAGAAAGTTGACCTATGGAAAGGGCTGCATAGTTTATTCTTACTATCATAAAAGGCTAAGTAAGAAATATTTAGTGTGATTTTTAAAATCTGTACTAGTGGCTGGTAATAATGCTACCAAGTGTATTTTTTTTTAAAGTTCAAAAACAATAAGACAGGCTGAGTAGTGTAATCTACTCACACAGTAGAGTAATCTACTCTATTTGGCAAGGCGTTTATGAGGTCTCCTTATTAATTACTTTTTTAAAAAGATAAACCATTCTATCTGACCCTAGGGAAAGAAGTATGCTCTTATGGGAGTATGAGTGCGGGGATAAAATTAATTCAAAACACAGAATTCCAGCAGCCATGGATAACAATTTTCTTTTTAAAGTACTGCTTCTTCCACACTAGCTAAATATCAGAACTGGGAAACTTAAAAAAAAAAAAAAAAAAAAAAAACTGATGCCAGGGTACAATCTCAAACGAATGTCAGAATCTCTGCTGGATGAGGCATTTGCAATAGTTTAAGAATCATAACCACTACAGGAGAATCTAAAGATTCATATTCACCTCCCCCACCTCCTGCCTAACTTCATGATATATAATTTGATAATTCCTCATAACATTTGAAATGCACAGAAACTTTAAAGAAAAAAGGAATGCCTCAGCTCTATTCCCCAAGTAGTGTGATTCAAGTGGTCTTGAGTGAGGACCAGTTATTCTATTTTTCAAAAGCCTTCCAGGTTGATTCACATGTTCAGCCAACAATAACAACACTGATATAGGGAGAATTTATGGGTTCTGGTACTAAGGATAAGATGACTGCCATCGTTTCATGGAATTTTTTTCTGAATCAGAAATCAAAAATTGTTTACCAAATTCTAGTCTTTTAAAGTAGCTAAAATATTATTTAACTACAGCTTCACTCACTAACAACACATATTTGTGCTAAGTTTTTTGATGTTCTTGCTTCTGGCTTGTCTGATAATTAGTTCATGTTTTCTAATTTTTTTACTAAAGTCCCATCTTCAAAATATACACGTCACAATGCTGTCAACACATTTTCATTCAGTTGCTTTGTATAAGAAGGTTATTTCTACTAACAGAGATATTTTCTTCCTTAATTAAAAAAACAAATTAAATCTTAGTTATGACTTCTTTGGGGGAAAGAAATGATTTTTAATGTGATTTCCTTTTGTTTAATTAAGCAAAAGCCAGTCTTACATGTAAATATTCTTCCTCCCTTTTAAGCTTTAGAGTTTATAATCTAACAGACTCGTAAGATACACAAAGGGAGTACACGGCTGTCTCCTCCGATCCTTATTAATGAAATCAGGTGAAGACTTAAGAAAGGTTTTGTCATAGAGTAACTAGAATCAACATGTATTTAATTATTATATATTTTCTGCTTATAATTACCAAAACAAGGATATGAGTAACACACACATGCAGGATTTTGAAAGTTTTGACTGCTCCTCTCTTTTTGAGCCCTTATTTTAAAACTTTAGAATTATCTGATGTGTGCTGTTGATGTATATACTGTGATATGACAAATATAAAGCAGATTAAGGAGCCCATTATTTTATCTTCACCTACAATCAGCTTTTAAAACCTGATCTCATATCATAAAAGCTGACTTGCTTGAAGTCACTTCTACTATAAGTAACTAATAAATTAAGGAAACAGTCAAAACAACCTACCTTGAGAAATATCCTCTATAGCTCTCCGAATGCCTCTATCAAAAGCCCTAGCATCAGCAGGACTTTGAAAGGTAAGGCCAAATTTCTTGTCATCAATCTTCCAGTGGTGAAATGTTGGAGTGACCTTATTGTAAATAAGGTCTTTTTTAAGCATACATTCCAAAACCACCTGCCAAAAGTTAAATGCCAAAAGTTACTATACATATATCAAATGAATCTAACATAGCTCTTAAATACAAAGTTAGCTGAGAAAAGGGCTGTTATATTTTAATAAAAGCATCCCTCCATTAATGTGAGGTCTTGTTACTTAATCTACTCACAAAGTCACTTGATACAGAAATTAATATGGGATTAAAGAAGATTGTGGAAAGATGGCAGAATTCTTAAGAAGCCCCAGGTATCTGTCTCCCTACCTAGACAAAACCGGCTGGCAGTATCTATCGGATGTAACTACGTTGGAACTTTAGAGTCTGTTGAAAGCTTTTAATTTTCAGGAAAAGACATGGACAGTAAACTGCAGTTAATTTTGGTCAATTTCAGCTATTTAGCATAGTAGCAGCACCAACCCTCATACCCACTTCCAGCCATAGAGCAGACAGCTGTGCACGTGTTCCTGGCACAGCTTGCATACAAATTACAAAAGCCAAGGTGAGTAGAAAGGACCTTATCCTTCAAGAAATAGAGTATTTAACACAGTAATCAACTAGACCAAACAGACATACGAAACACAGACATACGAAACACTCTATTCAGTAACAGAACACATGTTTTTCTGAAATGCACATGCGACATTTTTCAGGATACACCGTATGTTAGGCCACAAATTAATCTCACTGTATTAAAGAATATGGATATCATACAAAGTATTTCTGACCAAATTAAGATACAGTTAAAAATCAATAACAAAAGGGAAATTGGAAAATTCAAAATATTCTGGGAATTAAACAACCAACTTATCAAAGAAGAAGCTATAAGGGAAGTTATAAGACACTCAGAGAGGATGGAAACAATGATGCAACAAACCAAAACTTACCGGAAACAACCAAAGCAGTACTAAGGGGAAAATGCGTAGGTGTGAACAACTGCATTTAAAAAAGAAAAATCTTAAATCAACAATATAACTTCAAAATTTAAGGAACAAACTAAACCAAACCTAGCAAAAAGAATAAAGGAAATAATGAAGATGAGAGGAGAGACAAAGTAGAGACCAGAAAAATAATACAGAAAAATCAATGAAACCAAAAGTTGGTTCTTCAAAATGATTTTAATAATGGACAAATCTTGAGCTAGAAGGACTAAGAAGAAAGAGAAATCAGAGTCAAAATGGAGACATTATTACATCAATTCTACATAAATACAAAGAACTATGAGAGTACTGTGAACAACTTACACCAACAAGTCAGATAACCTAGATTTAATGGACAAATTACTAGAAAAATAAGACAGGTCGAGTAAGAAACAAAAAGAAAATCTTAATAAATACATAACCAGTAAGAAGACTGAATCAGTAATCAAACATCTCGTGACAAAGAAAAACCCTGGGCCTAATGTCACTGGTGAATTATATCAATTAAAGAACTAATACCAGCACCTCAAACTTTATCAAAAGATTGGAGTAAAATCTTCCTAATTCATTCGATGAGGACAGCATTATCCTGATAACAAAGACACTACAAGACAACTATGTACCAACATCCTTTATGAATATAAAGGATGCAAAAATCCTTGATGCAAAGATCCTTGATGAAAAAATCCTCAACATTTGCAAACCAAACTCAGCAGTATATAAGAAGGACGATACACACTATGACCAAACTGGATTTGTTCTTGAAATGCAAGGACAGTTAAACACATAAAAATTGATCAAAGTAATATCCTACGTGAACAGAATGAAGGGAAAAAGTCCATATGCTCTCAACTGAAAAACCAGAAATAGCACTGAACAAAATTTAAGAGAGCAAACTGCCAACATCCATTGAATCATAGAAAAACCAAGAGGATTACAGAAAAATATCTACATCTGCTTTATTGATTACGCCAAAGTCTTTGACTGTGTAGATCACAACAAACTGTGGAAAATTCTTCAAGAGATGGGAATACCAGACCACCTGACCTGACCTCCTGAGAAATCTGTAGGCAGATCAAGAAGCAACAGTTAGAAATGGACATGGAACAACAGACTGGTTCCAAATTGCGAAATGAGTACGTCAAGGCTATATATTGTCATCGTGCTTATTTAACTTATATGCAAAGTACATAATGTGAAATGCTGGGCTGGATGAATCACAAGCTGGAATCAAGAGTGCTGGAAGAAATATCAATAACCTCAGATACACAGATGACACCACCCTTATGGCAGAAAGCAAAGAACAACTAAAGGGCCTCATGATGAAAGTCAAAGGGGAGAGTGAAAAGTTGACTTAAAACGCAACATTCAAAAAACTAAGACCATGGCATCCAGTCCCATCACTTCATGGCAAATAGATGGGGAAACAGTGGAAACAGTGGCTGACTTTATTTTGGGGGGGGCTCCAAAACCACTGCAGATGGTAACTGCAGCCATGAAATTAAAAGATGCCTGCTACTTGGAAGAAAAGCTATGACCAACCTAGACAGCATGTTAAAAAGCAAAGACATTACTTTGCCGACAAAGGTTCATGTAGTCAAAGCTATGGTTTTTCCAGTAGTCAAGTATGGATGTGAGAGCCTGACTATAAAGAAAGCTGAACACTGAAAAACTGGTGCTTTTGAACTGTGGTGTTGGAGAAGACTCTTGAGGGTCCCTTGGACTGCAAGGAGATCAAACCAGTCAATCCTAAAGGAAATCAGTCCTGAATGTTCATTGTAAGGACTGATGCTGAAGCTGAAACTACAATACTCTGGCCACCTGATGTGAAGAACTGACTCACTGGAAAAGACCTTGATGCTGGGAAATACTGAAGGCAGGAGGAGAAGGAGACGGCAGAGGATGAGATGGTTGGATGATATCACCAACTTGATGGATCTGAGTTTGAGCAAGCTCCGGGAGTTGGTGATGGACAGGGAAGTCTGGCGTGCTGCAGTTCATGGGGTCACAAAGAGTTGGACACAACTGAGTGACTGAACTGAACTGAACATCTTTTCAAGACAAAAATAACAAAAAGGAAACTACATAAAAATATCTGACAACAGTGACAAGACTGTTCAATGGAAGAAAGCAAAAGTCTTTTCAACAAATGGGCCTAGGAAACTGGATATTAACATGCACAAGAATGGAGTTTCATACTTATCTAACACCACATGCAAAAATTAACTCATAATGGATTAAGGACCTAAAGAAGACCTAAAACAACAGAACTCTTAAAAGAAAACAGGACAAAAGCTCCATGACTTTGGATTTGGCAACATTTTCTTGGACATGACATCAAAAGCACAGGTAATAAAAGAAAAAACACTGGTATAGTACTAATGACTTCTTCACAACTCCATATGCAATGATGTGATGTTATATTGATTCTATTATATCCCATATTGATGTTAAGCTAAAAACCACTGCCTCTCTCTACCAATTCCCCCACCAAAAGCTTATTGTTAAACTTTTACCAGCATTATCACTGAAAAAATCATCTCTGATAGTAAGTTTTGTTAATTCTGCAAGAAATGACAAATAAAACAAAATAATGTCCTGCTTGCTTACAGGCAAAGTGTGTTAGCACTTGCATTTTACAAACTGTCACAAAAACTATTTTGCAATAATAATAATTATAAAATTCATAATTAAATTAAGTTCTGGAGTTCAAGAAGTTAAAATTGGTATTATGGATTACTGCAATGTATTTACTTAATTTATTACTTCATAAGTTAATTTATATTAATTCATAAAATAGCATATTAATTCATAAATAGTGGAAAAGAGATATATATTTTGGAAAATGCTCAATTGCAATTGTCAAAAAAGAGAAGGACATAAAACCCTAAATGTGGTGCTATAGTCTTTATTACATGAAAATGTCACTGAATTAATTTTTAATACATGAAAATGCTGTTAACTCTTTTCCAAAACTTCACAAAGTTCTTTTCCAACTACTATCTGCTAGAAAATTTTCAACATGATCTATACTCACCTATACCACTTGTTTACAAACAGCATCTATTTTTTACAGCGTCCCAAAACACACAGAAAAAGAAATTTTTAAAATGAGTTTTAAAATACACTCAGGAAATAGTTAAGGATAATGAACTAGCTCTTTGACTCATACAAGTACTTATGCAAAAATGTGTTCCACCTGAAAGTCATATAAATATTGAGGTTACACACCACACCAACTGGGTACAAAAACAAAATGCCAACTAATTCTGAAGTAGATGTCAATCTATGTCATTAATTTTTACCTACCAATTAACATTAGGATATAAATATATCATACTGTTCATAGTATATATTTAGCATACCATAAAAATAACTATTATTTAGGACAGGCAAACTCTAGGAGATAGCAAAGGACAGAGAAGCCTGGCATGCTGCACTCCATGGGGTGGCAGAGTTGGACAGGATTCAGCGAATGAAAAACAGGGAAAGGCTACTACAGTGTAGCTGCTACTATGAATTTAGGAATATAGAAAAGAAAAATGCAGGTAATCTATTGACACAACAATTGACTCATGATTTTTGGAAGTAATTTAAAAAATATGCTTCCTAGAACATTCTGCATCACTCAGCATTTACATAATTATCAAAGCCTCCATATCCGAAGTATAAAAATTTGTCATGCAAGATATTAAAAAATTGTTTTGCTTCTGACTTTAGCATTTAAAAAATAAATGCACTCATAACATTAAGGACAATATAAATAATAGTTTTATTAAATAAAAGGGATAGAAACCATCTATCTCAAATTTTTAAAAAAGATCAGTGAGATTAAAAAGGTATAAAAGAGAAAGTAGTTAAGAATGTCCCAAAAGGCTTTTACCCACCATCAATACTAAATCTCCATTCTTGAAAAATAAAAATAATTTTAAGGGCTGAAAGGAGTCTTAAAAATTAGTGAATTCTTCCCATCTTCTACTTCCACTTCTCAACTTCATCAGAACAATGTGTTCTGCCTTTACTTCATTGCAGTTTTCACTATATTAATTCTATATTGTAAGATCACCGTATTATTATTAACAGTAATAGGCATACAGGAAGCA